GCGGCATGGGCAAGGAGAGAAATGAAACCCAGTCCAGTCTGGTGCACCTTGGATCCACGTTCTCCCCATTTCCCTCACTGCTTCCTAGTCCGTCTCGTGGCTCTCGAATCCTGATACATGTGGCGTCTCTCTCACCCAGTAGCAGTATCCCTGCGCATCTGCGCCTTTGGAAGCCTGATGACTGTAGCAGCCACTTCAGAGAGTTCCTCTTCTCCTGGAGCTGCCCCGTGGTTCCCTAATCGTATACCCCAGATGGGCACCACCTGTTATTACACCTTCCCCTCCCCCAGTCTGTTTCCTGCGTCTGACTGTGGTTAGCACACACACAGGTCAAAATGCACTCTCTAAGCTGGCTTAGAATATAGTGCATTATCCTCTTTTCAAGAACATTTATCGGGTACCCATATGTGTATGGCATTTTAAACAGAGTTAAACAAGGCAAGCCATGCTCTTTAGAAACTTACAACTTGCAACTGATCACAGCTGATGAGTTAGTTTCCTTGGGAATAGGTTAGTGAGGAGGAAGAAGATAGGAGATCTTAGCCCTAAAAGGACATCAGGGGTCACTTAATCCCACCCTTCACTTGGCAGGTGGCAGAAGGAAAGCAGGAGAGCTTGAGGATGTCAGTCGCACAGCTCCTCCGTGGCTGAGCTGGTTCTGGATCCGCTTTAACCACGTCCTCCTGGTGCACTTTCTGTAGGAGGTGATCCAGCTGCCTCCCGTCCCTTTTAAACAAAGGTAGAAGATCTTAGTTGGATCCTTTAATAATGGGAAGCCCCGAAAGACCTTAGGAAGTTTAAAAAGAAAAGAATAGCTAGCTAGCTCTGCAGACAGGCAAGTGAGCATGGCTGGGAGTCCAGAGAGGGGAGATTTCGATGATCCAGGTGGGAGGTGGTTAGGACCAAGATCATAGAAATTAGAAAGCAAGGAAACGGTTGGAGGATGGGACTGTGTTGTTACAGCCTCTGTTTGAATAGCGATGTGGAGCAGGCCCCAAATGTAAGGACTGTTGGAATTATTGCTAAGCCCCTAACCGAGGCATAGAGTTTGTTATAGCATCCTAAGCTTCTGTCTTCAGAGATGTGTGTGATGAAAACTGGCTGAGGACGCTGTATCTGAAGGCCTTCAGCAGTGCAGGCAAGCAGCTGAATAACGGCTTTGCAGCTCGAATGTAGCTGTGGACGCGCTATTACTCGAATACAGGGGTGTGAGTGGGGTTTCAGACGCCCGCACTGCGCTGTACAAAGGCATCTGTGAGTAATGCCAGAAGGCTGACCCCACAGCGTTTCCCTGAGGTGAGAAGAAAGAAGTTGAATTCGAGTGGGAGGCGGGTAGAATGTGAGTTCTCGCTTTTCCAGCTGAGAAAATGCTTTACTGTATGCATAATCGACTCCGTACTGCGCTGGGGCTCCGCCGGAGAGGGCCCATCCCGTTCTCTTCCTCTCCGTTTTGATCCTGGAGTCGGCTGCAGAGTTATAGATGAAGTGACAAGGATGGTATCTTGATTGCATCCAGCTGCCTGGAGTAAGTCAAGGGCGGAGAGGCCCGCCTGGGGTGCAGCGCTCCCGGAAGGCTCCAGAGGAGCTGAGGTTCAGGACGCCTCTGACGCTCCTCGAGCGGCGTGGCTTAGCGTGCTGTGACCCAGCGCCACCAAATTCAGTCCCTCTGGAGAGAAGTCCAGTAAGTGGCTTCAGCTAACAGGAAGAGGACTGAAATCTTAACAGCATTTAACCCTAAAACAGAGCCAATATTAGCATTATGGCTGCAAACGGGGGCTTGACAAGAAGAGCCCCTTGGGAAAGTGACTGGAAGCTCCTTTGCGTGGCTTAGGGAGCTGTGTTGACTCAAAGTGGATCTGGGGGGTGGGGAAGGTGCCAGCTGCCTGCATGCCCCCTGCCCCACCCCCTTCCCCGCCCCCGCGCCGTCCCTGGGTTAGTTCAGTTACTTGTACTTGCACCCCTTCAGAGGTCTCTCTGGTCCCGTTAAGGTGAGTCGGTGCGTGTGCTCCTGGTGTGACGGGCAGGCAGGTGCTTGGTGCTGAGAGAAGGAAGCTGGCGGGGCATTCTCTGGAGCCTGCCCAGGCCCACAGCCCAACAGCAGTCACGGCTCGCAGGCTGTGTCGCTGCTCTGGGCTCCATAAAACTGTAATAGTATCATGTTATTTTAATCTGCTGAAATACAACCCCCAGAGCTGAGAACACAGCGGCAGCACGTTACGCGTCTGAGGAAATGTCTGACACGGATTCATTTGTCTGCAGCTAGTCTGCTGCTGCCTGCGGCCGATTAGCTCTGTTGGTTACAACATGGTGTTAATGAGGCCAAGGTTGTGGGTTTGAGAGGCCTGCTAGGTGAGCTGGTTTCACACAAAGCAAAGCTTTTTCACAACCCCGGACCCTGCTCAGGACCCAGGTCAGACTCCCGTAAAATCGTGAGGGTGATCACAAGGAGGACCGGGCACGACAGCGTGGTGACTCAGCACACAGCGCTCACCCGCTTCTGGAAAAGCACTGTGGAACACGGCGAGTTCCGACCGTGATCTTCACACACGAGGGACGTCACAGCGTTGTTGGCGGTGACTATTGACCGGTCCTGAAGTGGACCGCCTCTCTGAACTAAGGAGCGTGCTGGCTCTGGCCGCGAAGAAGAGAGAAAGCATCTTTGGTCCCTTCTCTCCTCCTCAGCTCTCTGCCTGCTGAGATTCTGCCCGTTGGCGCATTCAACAAGTGCGTGCGGCTTGCTGTCCTCTGCCGGAGTGCCACCGCGAATCAGACAGGCTCTCTGTCCTCGGGGGTTTAAATTCTACGGTGGGGAAATAGATAATAAATAAGCAAAAAATAACCAAAACAATTTCCAAAAGATGAAAGTTTGGAGAAGAAAAGCCCGGGGCGAGTGGATGTGAAGAATGGCTGGTTAGCGGACGGTGTTCCCCTGGGATAGGAAAGTCTGGAGAGGCCTCTCAGAGGAGGGGACAGTTAAGCAGAGACCTGACTGAGAAGCAGCACCCAGCCTTTTGAGAGCTGAGAGAACGTGCCAGTCGGAAGAAATAGCAGGTGCGAAGGGCTTGCGGTCTAGTCCTGGGGAAAGAACAGAAAGGCCACTGTAACGTGGGAGGACGTGGTAAGAGAGGGGCTTGGAGAGGGGGCAGGCCCCTCAGGGCGTGCTGAGGAGTCTGGATGTTATTCTTAGTCAGTAGAAAGCCATTTTTTGTTTTGTTTTGGGGGTGGAACATTTCAAAGGCTTTGAGGGGATGTTATGGGTTGGAGTGTGTCCCTTTAAAAAAAAAAATCCTAACCCTTAGTAACCGTGTTTGGAAATAGGGTGTTTTCAGGGGTTGTAGAGTTAAAACGAGGCCATTAGAGTGGGCCCGAATCCGCTTTGCCTGGCATCCTTATAAAAAGGAGAAATTGGGACACAGAGACATGGAGGGAAGACGGCCAGGCCAGGTGAGGACAAGGGTCCGAGTGACGCGTCTACAGGCCAAGGAACGCCCAATATTGGCAGCCACCTCGAGAAGCCGGAGAGGCAAGGAAGGAGCCTTCCCCGGCAGCTTTTGGGGGCGCACGCACTGCCAGCAGCTTGGTTTTGGGCTTCCAGGTTTCTGTTGTTTTCAGCCCCTCAATCTGTGTTACTTGGTTACAGCGGCCCTGGCAGACTGAAAAAGAGGGCGTGCCGGCATGCGGGTCTGCCCTTGGGAGAGCGGTCAAGCTCCTCCCTGGGCTCGGTGACACTCGGGTGTTGGGGAGACCTCTGCTGCCATAGCGTAGGACCGTATGACTTTTATATGTGTGTGGGTATATATGCGATGAAAATAATATTGATTTAAAAATAATATTTATATAATAGGATAGAGCCCACTGGTTGAATTACTCTGTACAGAATACCCTAATATTCTTTTGGGCATGGTCCTTTTAGGGGTGCTCTGTAAATAATTATTTGGAAGCAAAGAGATGAGATAGAAGCCTGTTGCAGTAATCTGGGCAGTAGATAACGGTGCTTTGAGCTGGAGAGAGTGGTAGGAGAAGGGAACGAGGCAGTCAGAAGTAGGACCAGCAGGACTGGCTGATGGATCGGACGTGGAGAGGACGGAAACGACGGGATAAAGGCTGCCTGCTAGCTTTGGGCTGGGGCAGTTGGGGATCAATATCATTTATTGAGATGGAGAAGATTGAGAGACTGGCTTGTCTGGGGATGAAATCGCGAGTCATACATTGAATATGTTGAATTTGAGATGCCTGTTGTTAAGCCAGTTGGAGACGGTAAGTAAGTAGAAGGTTATCTCAGGATTGTTCGGGGCCAGACATAAATTTAGAGGTCATCGGAGTATGGCCCGTATTTCGAGTGAACGAAACTGGACGAGATTATTTAGAGAGCTTAAAGGAGAGAGTAGGCCCAGGCCGGGGCCCTCAGGAGCTCTGGTTTAGCGGTCTGGTAAAGGGGGGAATTGGGGCGCTGAGACGGGGCACCAGGACCAGCTGGTCAATTGTCAGTACTCATTAACGCTGTGAACTTCCTGTCTTTTAAAGGTTAAACTAAATTGTTCAGAAATACATGGGGAAAGGTGTTGGAAGTACCCCACCAATATCCCAAATTCTGTTTAACAAAACTCTGAGAACCTTTCCAAAGATGGAAATCAAGTGTGTGTGTTCAGTGTGTTACAGATTATAGAATCAGGCAGATTCTCCCTACTCGAGGCTTCCGAATGGCTGTGTGCACTGGAGAAATCGATTGTTTTTTAAGAAACAGAGACTTTGTAAGTCTTCACAGGCACCAAAATTTGCTGAGTCAGGACAGTTGAAGACAGGGTTCCATTTCCTCTTCCTTTGTGCCTCCATTAAGGAGAGAGCCGATTTCCTTGGTCCTACGCAGGACGTCGCCCACCGTGGCCCAGTTCAGGAAGCTTTCCTCTGCGTTACTTGCAGTTTCCAATTCGGTTTTGATGACTCGGCGCCGGGCTGCTGTCTGACCTGGGAGCTGACGACTGGTGTGTTTCTGTCCTTAGGTCTGGCGGGAGTTTCCTGACCGTCTGGTGGGCTACCCGGGCCGCCTGCATCTCTGGGACCATGAGATGAACAAGTGGAAGTACGAGTCTGAGTGGACGAACGAGGTGTCCATGGTGCTCACAGGGGCGGCTTTCTATCACAAGGTGAGGCGGGCGGCCGGGCGGGTGCGTCTGGGTCTGCAGAGCTGAGGTCCGGGACTCCTTTCATCTGGTCCAATTTAATTTTGGCTGAGTTCAGAAAAAGTGTTCTACTCAAGGGTTAGGAAGCCCATGTTGTGTGATATTTTTGTAAAAGTAAAGTTACTATTTTTCTAATTATAAAAATAATACATGCTCATAATAAGAAATATGGAAAATCAGAACAAATTTTATTGTATAGAAAAGTGACTTATAGTCCTGTCACTTAGAGATGACCGTTATTATTGTTAGATGTTTTTTCCAGCTTGCCTTTTCTTTATGTATTTATTTATTTATTTACATTACATACGCACAGACAGGTGTAAATGTTCTCATTAGCTGCTTTTTGCATGTATTATATTGTTAGTTTTTATGTCATTAACATTCCTTCATAAACAATTTCTTCTTAATTGCTGATATGCCGTTATATTAATAGTCCATAAGTCATGTAGAACTGTTCCTTCATCTTTGGATATTCAGAGCGTGTCTATTTTTTTGTTATTTAAATGATGCTTGATGTCTGGAGTTTCCTTTGTGATCAGTATTCATTTTCATGACTGTTTGTGCTTGTGATCATTATGATGCTTTCCTAGAAGTAGAATTATGTCAAAGGGAGGGAACGTTTTGAGGAGGTTTTCATATATATATTTGTCTGTTTTCATTATTGTTTGTGCCAATTTATACTCCCACCAGCAAAATATAAAACCTTCTTGCCGTATTCCCCCTTGCATGAAATATGTGGGGAAAGAAATAAAATCAAACTTAGCTCTTTCAATAAGTGAAATGGATCTTCTTTTCACTTTGATTGGATCACTATGAGGTTGAAATTCCTTTTGCGTCTTCTTAGCCTGTTGCATTTCCTCTCCTGGGAATTGTCACTCCTTGATTTTGACTCTTTTTCTTAGGGACAGATTGAAGGGTCTGCATAGGACTTCAGAATATTCGGCTTGGTGCTAGGGTTCTCCCTGGGCCTGTGTGGTTTAATTAAACAGTAACAGCTTGTCCATTGTCCACAGTGGCGTCAGAACTGGTGTCGGGAAGACGCGTTCACCCAGCGCGGTTAATTTAACTCAGCTGTGTTTACATCGAGGCCTCTTGTTATCTCAGCACTGCTGCCCTCGTAGTTTTCACGGCTCTGGATCCAGAAATGGGTTTTTGTTCTTAGCAATAAGTAAATAAATAAGGTTTACAATTCTCCGGGTTTACTGTAATAGACCATGTATACTTCTTTTTTTGCTCGCGAATGTCTACACTTCTTGCATATGTGTAGGTTGTGGTAGTTTCAGAATGGCCTCATTTTTGTTTTAATATAAAAAGCACATCCTTTTGCAATGTCAATCCACCGTTAATTTATCTCCGTTCCTATTTGCAATCTGTGGAGAGGATGTAGAAAACAGGATCAAGCATTGTGACTCCAGGGAAAGGGTTTAGTAAAGATCAGCATGTAGTGTGTCTCTGGACAGTATTTATTAAACACGTGATACATTGATCGTTCCAAAGGGCCTGCATCCCGCAGGGCTTCATGCCATTCCTCTCCTCTGTGTACAGTAGGTGGGGTTTTTGTTTTTTGGTGGCTTTTTGTGTGTGTGAGTGAGGAAGATTGTCCCTGAGCTAACATCTGGGCCAATCTTCCTCCATTTTATGTGTGGGACGCCGCCTCAGTATGGCTCGATGAGCTGTGTGTAGGTCCACACCCAGGATCTGAACCCACAAACTTTGGGCTGCTGAAGCGAGCACGTCAGCCCAACCACTACACCAGCGGGCCAGCCCGTACAATAGGTGGTTTTGAAAAGAATGGCAGTGTTAAAGATGTTTGTCACTTAACCCAAAGCATTCTAATAGTAGAAAGCTTGTCCCCAGGCCGTGACTAGTTTTTACATATCAGCCACAGGGAACTGCTCTTTAAACCTTTCTTCTCTCTGTCTCACCTGACAGTATTTTAACTACCTGTACACCTACAAAATGCCTGGGGACATCAAGAGCTGGGTGGATGCTCATATGAACTGTGAAGACATCGCCATGAATTTTCTGGTGGCTAACGTCACGGGGAAAGCTGTCATCAAGGTAGGAGGCGTCGGAGGATCCTTGTCCAGCTCTGCCACCAACTTGCTTTGTGATCTTGGGCAAGTCTGTTTCTCTGAGCCTGAGAAGTTCTTGCGGCTAATATAAACCAAATTTTCGACTAGATGAACTCTGAGTTCCCTTTTAGCTTTCAGATGCTGTGGGAGACACTGTCACATTGTAAAACTGAATCTAGGCTCTGAGAATTTAAACATATTTTCTTTTTTTATACAGTTTCTTTAGTTACAATTTTTAACCTCCAGTATCAGAGATAAAGGCTATGATGGTCAGTCTACAAATTGTGTTTAAAAAATACTTAATTTTATTCTGAAAGCCGATATGAATCTAGTTCTGTTAGTTAAAGAATGCAGTTTACGTCTTTCTTAAGGTAGCCCATTTTTTTAGAGACTTTGAGAAGAAAGTACACTTTACACAGTTATAACTATAGTTGTCCTAAATGTTGATTTTAATTATTGATTACCAGTCTTTAAAAGTACCTTTCCCATAACATATTAGAAGCTGAGAGCACATGAAGAGCACATGGGGGCCTTGGTATCTGTAACAGATGTCTGTTTCTGAAATGTCGACTTGCTCAAATCGCATCTCTTGATATGGAGAGAGGGTCCACGTCTTGATAGGAGTGGAATCGTCTTGACCTTTTTTCCTTCTGGATTAGAATTCCATATCTGAAAATGGGCAATGCTTCCCGGCCAGGTTCCTGTACTGGAATCTTCTGTCCTGGAGGCTTATCCTGGAAGCATGGGATGGCGTTGCCCACTGATTCCTCCTGCTGTTAATTGATGAGAGGAGCCAGATTAAACCAAGGGACTCAGGAAAGCGGAACAGTCACTGTCTTTGCTCTCCAAACTTGAGCCAGTCTTCACCCTGTCCCCAGGTCTCTAAGTGACTCCGTCCACAGCTCACTGCGAGGGAAAGCGCAGACTCCAGTCTGCAGACTAGTTGCAGAACTAGTTTTAAAGGACCCCCCCTTATCTCCAGATTTACTTTTTGACATGCTTCAAGATGTTTTCAGCTGCGCCCGCTGACTCGGCACTGATTCCTGGTGTTGGATGCGGTCTAGCCAGACCTTAGGCAGCCAGCTTTCCTCCCCTCCCGGCCCTCTGCTGCTTCCTTATCCTCGCTGGGTTAGGAAGGCAGCCTCCCCCAGTTTGCTAGAAAAATCGTTAGGAGTGTAAGGTTTGCAAAGGTGGGAGTGAGAGTCAGGGAAAGGATTCGGGACCCCTGGATTTTTGTCCTGACTCAAGGGACTTGCAGAACGACCTGGTGTCTTCAGGACCACGCTGCTGCTGTGGCCTTTGCCATCAGCTGGATGAGGGAGAAGGGGCCTGTTGGAACTCCGGTTACGGTGAAAGTTATGGGAAGCTGTATTTCATCGCCCTTATGGCTGCAAGAACAAATGGTGTTTATACAAGGACCTTGGCAGTGAGAAAACAGTCATTAAACAGGAATTAAGGAGCTTGTCATCACCACTTCTTTCCAGTTACAGAAGGCAAAAGCCTCCAAGCCCTTTTTATTGGGCCCTTGTGAGTTCTGCCGTGGGCCAAGCCAGACAGGACTGAATGGAGGAGCGGTGAGGGGTGTGTGCGCATGCACGTGCGCGTGGGCACGCGTGCACGTAGAGGGAGCAGACGTCTCAGCTCAGAGCAGAAGCATGCAGAGTGGTGTCACGGGCGTGATTTTATTGTCCCTGGCACTGACGGCCAGGTGTGTCTTTGTGCTCCTCCGGCAGGTCACGCCGCGCAAGAAATTCAAGTGTCCCGAGTGCACAGCCATCGACGGGCTCTCGCTCGACCAGACTCACATGGTGGAGAGGTGAGTGGGCCTCTGCCCAGTAGTCTGCCGAGCCTCTGATCCCGATTTCCTGCCTCGGGCCTGTTTATGGGACTTTGTCGGAGATATAAGGACAGCAGCTGGTAGCCATAGTCACCTCCTTCTGCACTGTGGGAATTGGGTTAGTTCAAGCCCAGGTCACCCAAAGAATTAATTTGGAATGCTACTCACTCAATTTGTAATGGCTGGAAGGGTCTTAAAAATATAGCTGGCCTTAAGCTCCAGAAGCCAGACTCTCCGTGTGGACTAAGCAGTTAACCATCCACAGTCATTGGAAGGGAAGCTGGTTAATTCCAAGGAAATACTGGCTTGTTTTTCAGGGCAACGGCTCCATGTTACAGTAAAAGTTTGATTAGAGAGAATTAAACCGAACCCACCAGAGACAAGTTCCTTTGCTCACACGGCTAACACACGTCCCAAGAACGGACTGGAAAGCACAGCTCTTTCCAGAGAGTGGAGCGGGCCAGCTCTGACCCTCCCTTTATGTCAACTGGGTCAGGTACACGACAGCACACCTTGGTGTGGAATGTGATACTAGGCCTTGTCGGTGAGTGTAAAGTGGGAGGTGTGTGTCTTCCCTGAAGGCCGTTGTAATCTTTGCGGTAGACCTGGGATTTCTCGCTTGTATCCCAGAGGCCCCTGCGCTTTGAATCTCCTGAATCAGACCTAATTCCAAGCCAGCTCCTTACACAGGACGGCCAGCTCTGACGGCCAGTAGCACTGTTGTCAAGGGACCAGAGTGCACTCGGAGAATGTGGCGGTGGCCTTACGGATTGAGCCGTCTAGTTCAAGTGTCCACAGGTCTCGTGTGCACCTGCTCGCAGTACTCAGTTCTGAAATCCGTCAGCCGTATTAAAATCCTTCAAGCCTGGAGGATTGCTTTGTACAGAAAGTTGTTTCAGTTGGTCTGGATTTATCTCTAATGCTTACTCCCTCTTACTCTTACTTCTCACTCTTACTCTCTAAATAATTTCTTTATCTCTTTCATTTGTAAAAATCTTACCCAAATGACATGACTTTTACCAGCGGTCAATGTGAGATAATATCCTCCTGTGATTTTAGAAATGTCTGTCAGTGGTTTTTTAAGGATCACAGTCAAGGGCAGTGACATGAACCGTCATAGCTCATTTGCAGGACCCCAATTTTCTATTAAAGCACACGAAATTGTTATTAAACCTCCCCCCATTCTCTGTGTTTGGGGAGAATTCCCGGCATAAAGCAATTATTTATTGTGTGGGCTTATTTAAATCGGTGGGGTTGTATGGTTCTAATAGGACTTGTGGGGAGTGAAGTTGACCTGATAATGGCCTTGACGTTCATACTGAGGCTAAACTCCTCTTCTCTGGTGCCACTGAGATCTTAAATGTCGAGACTTCAAGTGCAAGGTTTAAGTTGGACGTAATTATTATTAAACACTGAAGCAGGCCACTAAGGGAGGTGTGGCTGCTCCTCTTGGGGAGAGGCACCGAAAATAGAACAGGCCACTGCCCAGGTGTCGTCAGGCTTGAGTCAGGTTATATCAGAGCTTATAATTAACAACAACAAGTACACACACATATATATGTGTATATATACGTATACAGTGTGTGTGTCTGTATAAAAAACCTAATCCAAAGCTATATGCAGTCAGTGCCATAGCGAGGCTCAGAGATGATCAGAGGAAAAAGAAGTGACTGCTTGCCAGGTTGACCATCAGGATAATTTTAAGAGGTGGCACTTAAAGTGAGCCCTCCAAGGTCACTGGGATCCCAGCTAATGAAACTCTGGGCAAGAAAAGGAGATCCTAGGCAGGGCGCCTGGGTGGTCAGCAAGTTGAGGGTGTATCTGGCAAGCAGTTACGAAGCCCGTTTTGGCTAGAGCATAGAGTTCTGGCCCATTAGTGCCAAACTGTGAAGGGCCCTGAATGCCCAGTTCAGGAGCCTGAACTTCGCTCCTCAGGCTCTGGTGAGCCGTCGAAGGCTTTTGAACAGGGATGTGTGATCAAGGTGCTGTTTTGAGACTGATCTGAAGTAGCGCACAGAACGGAATGAGGGTGCAGAGACTGAAGAAAGAAGACCAGTTACAAGGCACGAACTAAGCTGAGTGTGGAGAGGAAGGGACAAATTAAATTGCAAGAGATTTTTTTTTTCCCAAGGGAAGATGTGCTAGAACTTGATTTCCAGCTGAAGAGGCGTGCGGAGGTTATGGAGGAGGGGTCAACAGAGAGAACTTGGATTCTGAGTCAAGACGAATGGTAGTACCTTTAACAGTGTGAATGACATGTTAGAGGAGACGCTAACGGGGGGCGGGGTGGGGTGAATGGTTGTACCTTTAGCAGCGTAATTAATGAGGACAGGAGGAGATTTTAATCATGGGCAAAGTTGGAAAGCGACAAGGTAGGTGGTTTTGGAGTCTTGCCCTCTGTATCGGCAGATGTAGATATGGAGCAGACACTTGGAGATGTGGAACTAGAAATCTAGAAAGAAAATTAAAACAAAGATAGATATTTGGAAGACATCTGCCCAGAGCTGGCAGTTGACTGAAGGAAAGCCAAAGGCAGAATCTTTGTTTTTGTTTTTTTTTTTGGTGAGGAAGATTGACCCTGAGCCAACATCTGTTGCCAATCTTCTTTTTCCTTGAGGAAGATTGTCCCTGAGCTAACATCTGTGCCAGTCTTCCTCTATTTAGTATGTGGGATGCCACCACAGCATGGCGTCATGAGTGGTGTGTAGGTCCACATCTGGGACCCAAACCCAGGCTAACCCCAGGGTGCCAAAGCAGAGTGCACAAACTTAACCACTACGCCACCAGGCTGGCCCCCAAGGGAAGAATCTTGAGAAATCCTGACATTTAGGAGACAGAAAGAGTAACTGGAAACAGAGAAGCAACCACGGGAGAGGCCAGGAGAGTGCCAGGATCTACAGTGCCCAGAAGCGAGGGAGGAGCAAGCAGCAGGTGGGCGGGGAAAAGGCCTTTGAATGAAATGGTCGTTGGTGACTGAAAAAATGGTGTCATGGACTGAAGGGGCTCGAGGGTTACGGAGTGTGAGTCTGTGGTGAGAAAGGTGGTTAGTGAAAGCAGACTACCCTTAGATTTGATGGGCACAGAAAGCAATCAGTCTTGAAAGCAGTTAGAAACTGCGAACTAAACTATTGGGATTAAAGATTGAATCACTGGGTTATTGAATAAGGCACTTAGACTGAGAGGGAGGAAGACATGGTTTTAAGCCATCTTGAGCACCAAGAGATGGAGTTACGAGTATAGAATTGTTCGTTTGTTTTATTTTTTCAATAGTTCCCTTTGCAGAATACATACTTTGCAAATTATGACCTTGTGTTGGGTTTTGTGGTTCAGTAAACTTATTTATTCTTATATTTGGGGTCTCGGATCAGAAATCTCAGTTGCGTAGGAGAGTAGCTTTTCCTACCCAGCATCTGGTTCCAAGATCTGCTGTTGGTTCTTTAAGAACCAGGAGAATTTGTAAGTGTTCATCATGCCCAGTGACTTCCCCACGGGCAAGGCATTATGGCAGGCAGACAGTGCTGCTCTTAGAAGAAGAACAGTGTGTTTTGATGCAGGCCAGTCTTTGTTCAAATTATGAATTCGCCACTTGTTAGCTGTCTGACTTTAAGGAATTTGACTTACCGTATCCCAAACTTTAATCTTTTCATCTCCTAAAACGGGTATACTGATACCTGTCAAATCACCGTGTGTATTCATGGATTCAACGATGTTTATTGAGCATCTTTGTACCGAGCGCTGTGTTGTGTGCTGGGGATGGATGAAGTAATAATACACGAAAGCGCGTGGCACGGTACCTGCAGCGTCACTTTCCTCCCCATTCTCCCCGGCATTGGTCCTGAAGCTCCTGGTTCCTTCAGGTAATTGTATGTGTTTGAAAGGAAAACAGAAAACCATTGGTCCTTTCTCCCCGAGATGCTTCCAGTGCTTCGCCTGTTCATACTTGATTAGAAAACCAACCCAGGGGATAAGTTACTGACGGGGTCACTGGACCCCTGACACAACCTCTCAGGGGGGCCACCAGCAACCAGCCACGCTCGCTGTCTGCCCTAACCCGTTCCCCAACCCAGACCCCGTGTGTAAGAAGAAGGTAGGAAGCCCCGGCAGGACCTGGCAGGAGAGTTAAGGACCTTCACCGTTCGGAGCGGCCAGCCGCTTCTGCAGTGCGGCTGTGTGGAGAGAAAGGAGCGCTTCCAGGCCCGGGTCAGCTGGGGGCAGCTGTCAGCAGCCACGCTGGCCTGAGCCCCGTGGCCTCCTGCCTGTGGCCCGGCCCTGTTGGCAGATCTGGTTACAGAGGAGACCTTGTCCTCAGGACTCTCCAGGGGCCTGTGGAGCCCCTGTCCTCTGCCAAGAGCCCTGATTCTTCTCTAATACGCTACCTGTGCTGGGCACGGCTGGGCTTTGCTGGCAGAGTCTCTGGGCATAACTGGCAGCTGGAAGAATCTGTACGTGTTTACAGGCAGAACAACTGTCAAGAGTAAGACCTGGGAGAGATTTGCCTGCCACCGCCTTGACCCATAATAGGGGGCAGGGAAGCTGTTGTCGGATGCCGGCTCCATGCCATTTTGTTGAAACTCCTCAGTTTTCCACCTCTCTCCCCATAATTTGGAACCTGGGACTACCACCTCCTGAGTCTCAGAACGCTGCCAGCAGGAGGAAACTCGGTTCCCTGCGGGTCCCGGCAGAGCGTGATGACAGGAGCAGAGGCTCCATTGCCAGTGCGAGCCTCGGTCTGCAACCCAGCTCGCCCTTTCCAGCTCTGGGTCCTGGGGCCGGTCACTTCTCTCCCAGCCTCAACTTCTCAGCCCAGAGCAGGAAGCTGCTGTAAGGCCACCCCTGGGCGTATAGAGGAGGGTGCTGTGAGGAGTCGATGAGGCCATCGTGTCAGTTACCGGGCTCGAGTTAGGTGCTCAGCAGTTGTTCATTTCCAGCCCCTCCCCTGGAGCCCAGGATTAGGCTCCTAAATCCATTTGTGTCATCTCGTAGTTGAGGCTTCAGCCTCAGGGGCCGGAGTGCCTGGGTTTGGCTCTGCGTCTTGCCAGCATTTGACCAGTTGCTTGGCCTCTCTGCACCTCAGTCTTCCTTCTGTAAAATGGGGATAATGAGGCCCTCCCTGGAGGCTTATGTGAGGATGAAGCGGTTACGAATACACCTCACACAATTTAACACAGCTGGGAACGTGCAGTAAATATTAGTTGCTGTCGATTTGTGGTGGTGGATGGAGACGATGGTGTTATTAGCTAGAAGAGCTCAAAATGAAATAGTAACACGTTTTTTTAGAAACATAACAACCAAGAGAACTGATAAAGACTGGCTTCTTTGTTAATGGGTTTCTTCCTGAAGCTCAAAGGACTCCAATAAAAACTTGATAAAATCGTTTGAAACGAGGCTTTTGGGATCTCCGAGGACAGAGGAGACTCCTTCGGGTCTGTGTCTTGAAAGTGAGCCCCATCTTGGCAGATGGCTCTGCCTCTGGCTGTTTGTTCTCATTGTAGCTCTCGGTGCCGTGGGCCTGACTGAGAGAGAGAGCGTTGACCTTTCTGAAGTCCATCCTTGGGGTCCCCTTGACTTCAAAAGTGGCTTCTCGGGGCTCGTTTCTGCTCCTCTGGGCTGAGGATAAGCGTCCTCGTCCTCGTCACCCAGCCGTCACACTCCGTTGCCTGATGGACCAGCACTTCCCACCCGCGGGCCTGACCTGCTCACCTCCGAGCTGCAGTGAGCTGAAGCTCAGATCCAGGCGGCTTTTTCCTGTCGCCCTGCCTTCACTTTAGCTGGCAGAGATGGGGTTAAGAACTGTTGGCAGCTAATCCACCTGGGTTTGAGGCCTGCTCCGGACTGAGCTGGAAGAATGACTGGAATTTGAGGGGGAGGGGAGAAGACACTCTGACCTCTGCAGGCCTGTGGCCTCTGCAGCATCTCCCGTTCACTTTCTCCGCTGAGCCGACCCTCAGAGTTCCCCAGGTCACTTCTTCAGTCCACACCCTCCCGACCCTTGTGAGCACCTGGCCGCAGGCTGGGGTACTTGACTTACTTTTGTTGATGTTGAATATCATGTATTTTGCTCTCATCTCTCAGCCTCTTGAACGCTTTCTCTTTTTTCCCCCACCCCATCCCTCATCCGCTCCACTGCCCTCCCCCCGCCCCACACCCCGCAGGTCTGAGTGCATCAACAAGTTTGCCTCCGTCTTTGGGACAATGCCTCTTAAGGTGGTGGAGCACCGAGCTGACCCTGTCCTGTACAAAGACGACTTTCCTGAGAAGCTGAAGAGCTTCCCCAACATCGGCAGCTTGTGAGACGCGCCACAGATGGGGCTGAGCGCTAAGCTTGGACAAAGGAAGAGAACACGCTCCCACCAGCACTCTCATATCAGGGTGGGGGTTTCAGACTGGAAGGTCACCTCCTGGATCTTGGCCTCCACTCCCCTACCCTGCTTCCTCGAGAAGAGGATCCTGGAGAGAATCTCTAAGCACCCTGAGCTGCACATCCTCTGTTCCAGTGTTTCTCATGATCTCCCACGGGTCCTTTGTGAAAATGCCAAATGGAAGCCTTGGTGGCCTGCTCCCCAATTAATTCCAGCTTGGGCTCCCTTTCTTTGTGGTTCCAGTATAACAATCTGAAATGCAGCTTCCATGACTGTAAGACGGCTGAGGAGAGAAACCTACCAGCCCGTTTAAGATGTGGGGACTCGTGTAAAAGGTACCCATGTCTCGCTTTTAGTCGTTTCAGATCAGTGAGTTCTTTGGAAGAAAAGCCAAGCCCAGAATTTGGTGCAGAATCTTAACGTCTTGGGATTTGATGGGTGGATGCCTTTGGCCTGGGCCCTGGGCTCGTGCAGCGGGAGCCCCGACTGCCGAGCTGGGTCTGTGAGGGCCATGGACTATTCGTCTGTGGTTTGGCTTTTTGATATGATTAAAATTATTTTTTATTCTTTTTTCTACTATGTCTTAAACACTGATCATTGGTAATCAAGGATCTGTCTGTCTTCTTCTGTGCATTTAACTCCATCCTCTGGCCTTCACTCCAATCCACTGCCCGTGTCTGGGAAGACACGTGGCCAGGAGGAGTATGTGGTGCGTGTGCCTCTGATGGAGGAAGAACCCCACGCTGTAAACATTCTAAGAGAAGATGTCTCCCCAGACCTCCAAAGGAGGCAGTCTGCCCCCTGGTCGGATACGATCTTTACGGGTATCTTGGGGAAGAACAGAGGGCCTCCAGGAGCCACACCCTTGAGTCACTCCGGCTAGTACCATGTTGTACAAGTGAGGGGAGCTGCGACCCCACCCCAGGGGGATGCCAAAATTCCCTCCTTCTTTTGGTATAAACTTCACGTTAGCCAGGCAGGTTCTGGCTAATGTTAAATGCTGCTAGAACACTGCTTTGCAAGAATTGCCGGTCTATTTAAATCGTTAAATTTCAGCATTTTGTAATACCGCACATGTGTGAATTATAGCTCTGTAAGCCCAGTTGATGAACAAATCTACTCTGGCAAATGTTAGATGTTATGGATTCGAAACAGATTTATCTGGCTCTAATATTAAGATTAGCCACAGTTTGGGCTTTAGCCATAACATATGTCCCCAGAACACAGAATACATAACAGTTTGCTTGGAATATGGATATGATTACTGAAACCCCGTTGTGTGCCAGTTGAAGTCGCTAATACACCACCCATTGTTCTGCTGAGTGACGTCAAGGTGAGCAGTGACTGGGCTGCGGTTCTGAAACTGGCAGCTTTAACTGGAGTCGCTTCAGCTGTCCCCAGCCTTTGAGACGTCAAAGAAAAATCCCGGAAGTGGCGAAATTGAAAGTGGAAATCGTGAGAGTTTCCTCTTCTTTCAGATTGAGGAGTAGCCTTGTGGACCCTTGTTGGTGGGAGGCCGAGGGACCGTCCCGTCCAGGTCGTTCGTTTGCAGAGGCGGATGCTGGAGCTGCGAGCTGTTCCGCGTGGCGCAGCCCCGCGCACAGCTGCTTAGGACGCGCTTCTCATCTGGGTGGTTGCGTGCTGGTCAGCGGGGCCTGTGGGAAGGCATTTTGGTCGCACATTTATGGTACTGGGGAGGGTATGACAGAACCAAGAGAAAGGGATTTCTCTTGTCCTCCATTTTCCAGGAGCTGACACAGCAGGTTCCTCTCACTTTCCTAGGGGTCCTTCAGCTTGTTTTCCAAGAGGCAGGGAAGGGGGCAGGGGCGGGGGGGCCTCACCTTCCACCCCTGCCCAAAGCCGAGCGCTGTTCTGGCGTGTCTGTGTGCTGTGTCACCCTCTGCCGTCTTCAGCACTCCGCCTCGCTGCTCCCATATTTCTGCCCTTTGTCACCTTCCTGAATCCACGACCTTGGTGGCTGGTTTCTAATCCAGTGCTCCCTCTCAAAGGGTAAATAGGGTTTTTCTTCTTCTTTTTAACCTCGTTAGCCCTTTGGTTTAGGAAGAGGAAGTCTTCAGTCTGAGATTCCTGGGAGCCCCGGGGGCTGGTGGGTGTGACTTTGTCACCTTCTTAGGGGTCATTGGACTTCTGAGGGTATTAAAACGCCGTTTAAAGTCCCTCGCTACGCCCAGGAATGCTGGGGGTTAGATCTCGTGGCACAGCATACAGAACTTTCCCAGGGAGTAATCTATCCTAGGCTCTTGAAGCAAGCCTCGAAGGTTCTACCCAGTGGACCGACGGGTGGTGCAGGTCTCAGGGAGGAATTCAGGACAGGAATGGAGCAGGCGATCCTGATCTGCGATTCAGAGGGCGCGAGGGGCTCCACCCCTCGTCAGCGGATTTCCGAGCTGCTGCCCAGCAGGCCTTGCCCATCAGCTTGGACTGTCTGCCCCGGGGACGCCATAGGGCCTGGTTGCAGAAGCAGAACAATGATGCTAATGAAAATGTCATGCTCTGGCCTACAGCAGACAACAGCTGGTTTTAGATGAGGACGTCTTTTTTAAGAAATTGCGTCCTACTGGCCTGGATGGGAGAGGAACCTGAGCTGGCCCTGGCCGAAGTGTGTGCGTGAAGTCACTGCCTTTGCCCCCAGGGCCCTAACTGAGATGGGCCCGCCAAGGTTGGAAACGCTTTTTTGCTGGTTAACATTAGATAGCTGTTAATCTTTGTATCTCTTGTGTTTTACCAAGTCTCACAGATGTTTAGGCAGAAACCACCTTTCCTGAGAAAATTAAAAAGGAAAGTATCACCTTCTGTCCTCAGAATCTCCGATTCTTTCCTGCGAAGATGCCGCACTGTCCCCTCCTCTTACTCAGTGTCCTGGAGCTCGCAGCTCCGACCCTTCTGGCTGCTCTGTCAAAGCCTTAGGCTCTTCCAGCTGTCCTTCAGACTTGTGGGTCTTAGGGGCTGGTTTCTCTGCTGCCTTGGGAAGGAAGTGGCCCTCGTACCGGCCCGTGGGGACCAGGACCGGGGGCTGGAGGAGGCCAGCTGCCTCTGTGCTCTGATTTGCTGTGCTCCCCGCTTCTTCCTGGGATGGCAGGCTGACCGGAGTCTCCTCACTGCCGAAAGAGTGCGGGGTCGAGCCACCATGCTGGAGAGGTGATTGCTGGCTTAGAATCCAAGCTGCTTTGATGGCAGGAGGAGGAAGCAGGTGAAGCCAAGGCCGGGCGTGGGCGGTGCTTCAGTTCCCGTGGGACTCTTCCTGCCTCTGCAATCCGGGGATCCCATGAGAGCCCAGCGGGGAGGGCAGAGGGTGGCGTTGGTGCTTTCCCGTCAGCCACGCGTCCTGAGCCTGGTGGGATCCCTTTGCTTTGGGGACAGTAGCTTCTGTTTTGGGTAGGATGCTTTTTCCATCTCTCTTGGCTCATGCCGTCTTCTGTGGCAGCAAAAGCAGCCCCAGCAGCCTGTTCCCCAGGCAGCCCTGGCACAGAGAGGCAACGACAGAGAATGCAAAACTGGCCCCAGGCCCTTCCAGCCGCTTCCTGAGGAGCGCCTCTGGCGGGGCTGCTGACCGTCTTGGCAGGCACTCCATGCGGGGCGACTTGGGCGGCACCTGGAGCTTTCCACCGCCAGGCCTGGAGGGCACAGCAGACCTGTGAGGCCGTCTGCTCCCCTCACCCTGAGCTCTGCTCCAGGCCCTGGGGCTCAGGGGCGAGGCCAGTGTTTGATACTCACATTTTTGCTCCTGAGTAAAAGCAGGGCCAGCATTGGGTCCCATTATGCCCACTGTGGAAGGTCTGACAGTGTGAGAACAGGCCTCACGGAGCGTCTCCTGCAGAGGAGTTAGGCAGGCCTCTGCCCTCAGTTGTAAGGGTCTCCCCTCTCTAGGGGTGGGAGCAGTCTAGGCTCACCCACAGCCTCTCCCCACCTCTGTCCAGTGGCCTCTCAGGGACCCCTAGCTTCAGGCTTCCTGACTCCAAGTTCCCAGGCAGGGCGTGTGGTCCCTACAGGCAACTGTGTGCTGTGGCTTTAAGGTCAGCCTCACCCTTTCTGCCAACACAGGGAAGATGGCCGGGGAGCGTGTGGCTTGTCGCCCAGCTCTCCTGGCCTCTTGTTTTTTATTCTTCAAGAAATAGTTGAGCGACCATCCTGGGTGTCTGGTATTGTGTTTCCTCTAATTTACCACCTTTTCAGGGTAGAGCATTTTCCTTTCTTCTCCCAGCTGGTTGGGTCCCTGCTTGCGTTTCTTCCCAGTCCCCCTGAAGGGCACAGAGCTCTCAGGCAGAAGACAAAGAGAGGACGATGGCTGGGCGGCTCCCGAGAGGTTGCAGGCGGCTGTGTCTGATGGAGCTTCCTCAGCAGTGCTCCATCTTGTCTGCAGCCAACCTCTCAGGGGCCGCACAGGGCGGGACGGGGGGTTGGGGTGGAGAGCTGCCGCAGCCCAGGGACTGGAACCCATGTGTCTTCGACCCAAGCCCCCAGTCGGTCCACGCCACTGTCTAGAGCCTTCCCTTCCCAAGGTATCTGCTTGGGCTTTTCTTTATAGCCACCAACATATATCGTTAGCTACTACACCGCTAATAAACTCACTAAGCGTCTAGTCTCCGGTTATCACAGCTGAGGAACAAGCAACTAGTTACTGATGCAGTTGAGGTAAGAGCGGTTATTCAGTCGTTCAGTTTTTTTCTTATTGTTCATTTATTCATCAAAATGTGCTCTTTGCCAGCCCTGTGCTAGGTCCGGGAGATAGAGGGTTGAGTAAGACACTGTCCTGGTCTCCAGGAGCTCCGGTTCCAGTGGGAGTCCTTGAGCTCTGTCAGATGGTGCGAGCCCATCAGTGGCCTGGGCCTCCACACACACACAGACACACACACACACACGCACACACACGTTTTACTCCCAACTGTAAATGAAAATGCAGATTCCATCAACACCATCTTCTCTGGTGCCTGGAGGATGCAAGGACTTTTTATTTCCTCTTCTCAAAGCCCCTTCTCTTGAGTGGTCCCCTGGCCCTTCCGGGGACTGGAGGGAGTCCGCTCCCACGCCTTGGCTTCCTCAACCAGAAATCGGAGATGGCAAGACGCTTAGACACAGGCTGGCGGAGTGGGGTGGTGTGTCAGGTCTCCTCCCGCCTCCTAAGCGGGGCCTTTACTGATTGTACCTGGTGACGCTGGCAGCCAGCCCTTTGCCGGCCCCTACTTCTGCTCGCCCTGTTACCAGAGAGCTTGGGGTCTGGATCCTATCTGGCCCCGTCAGGGTGGATTACCGACGGAGCGGTTCTTTTGCCCCAGTCCCTTTCCTGTGCTATAAATAAGCCCCATGTTTATTTTCTTATGTTATTGAAATGAACACTTGGGATTTGGGCCTCTTGACGAGTCCAGAGAGCGTCCATCCGGTGCCTGGTGAGGGCCCTGCGCGGCTGGCTGCTGTCTGAAGCTATTGGGAGTGCTCCCCGTGTGTTTTGGATGTGGCTTAATTTCAATAGTAAGGGCTGAAGGCAGCCCCGTATCTGCTGATTTTCAGGTTTCAGCTTTCTGCCAGCCTCACCGCCTGCTTAGAAGTAAAGTTGTGTTTCTCATTAAGGGGCTAACAGCCACAATT